GAAAAGACTGTAGCTGCGGAGAAGCAGAGCGAGGCAAGAGGCAGGAGAGAAGCGATGGGATATGAATAATACAGGAGACAGTGTTGAGCTAAAGACATGCCAGACACCCATTAGAGATCATTGTACTACACAGACATCACTGAGCTGAACATCTGCTCACACACCTGACTGTGCTGTAGACACTGCTGTCCCTCTCCTCTCACACTCCCCTGAATTCACACACTGACACCCCCCTGACTGGACTGGAGACACTGCTGTCCCTCTCCTCTCACACTGCCCCTGAATTCACACACTGACACCCCCCTGACTGGACTGGAGACACTGCTGTAAACAGACTAATAGAGATCCAGTAAAAGTAAGTGGGATATTTCCCCTCTCACTAAAGCAGGTTGCTTTGACAACACTGCCACCTGCTGCCATTGTGGGATACTGCGGTTGCCCTGCTGCCGCGCTGCGTGGAGCTCTTCTGCAGCAGGACTAACCTGCCCCCCCCCGTCTCTCCCCAGCCTGCGACGGGAGGGCTACACCGTGCAGGTGAACGTGAACGACTACCTGGACATCTACTGCCCGCACTACAACGGCTCGTCCCCGGAGCGGCACGCGGAGCAGTACGTGCTGTACATGGTGAGCCGGGAGGGCTACCGCACCTGCGACCCTGCGCTGGGCTTCAAGCGCTGGGAGTGCAACCGGCCCCACGCGCCCCACGCGCCCATCAAGTTCTCCGAGAAGTTCCAGCGCTACAGCGCCTTCTCGCTGGGGTACGAGTTCCACGTGGGACACGAGTACTACTACATCTGTGAGTATAGCACTGCTGCACCCCTACTCCTGTGGGTATAACACACCCCTACTCCTGTGGGTATAACACACCCCTACTCCTGTGGGTATAACACACTGCTACACCCCTACTCCTGTGGGTATAACACACTGCTACACTCCTACACCTGTGAGTATAACACACTGATATACTCCTACACCACTTAGTATAACACACTGCTACACTCCTACACCTGTGAGTGTAACACACTGCTACACCCCTACACCTGTGAGTGTAACACACTGATATACTCCTACACCACTGAGTATAACACACTGCTACACCCCTACACCTGTGAGTGTAACACACCGCTACACCCCTACACCTTTGAGTGTAACACACTGCTACACTCCTACACCTGTGAGTGTAACACACTGCTACACTCCTACACCTGTGAGTGTAACACACTGCTACACCCCTACACCTTTGAGTGTAACACACTGATATACTCCTACACC